CCCCCAATGCTGGATAGGTTGAAGAGGGACAATGTACATTTAAATTGACTGGATAATGGGAATGGTGTGGTCCAGGCTGATTGGACTAGAGGCACCAGAAATGAGACATCTATTCCTGGAAACCTGTTGTGGGTGGTTGAACTGTGACCCAGGCTGTGATGTCTGTTAATCTTTGAATCCATTTGCTAAATTGAATGTGGGCTCTGACTTAAGTAATGGCAAACAAGGCCAATATATTCCCTGACATTCCTTTGGCCTGGGTCTTGCCTGAACCTTGAGTGTCCAGCAGGGAACGGCTTGACCCTGGCTAGCCAGCCCAATAAACTCTACTCTGTGAATTGTATTCTTGCGTGACGCTCTGTCTTTCACAGTAATGGAGTTCTCGTTCTCTGACCCTAAGAATGTCACTGCCCTATTCTGAAGATTTGAATATTTTCATTCAATTGAAGTCACCTTTTCAGGACTACTTTTACTTAACTCTTCCTAAAATATGCATGGAACTATGCAAAGTAGGTGAGAACACTAAAAAAAAAGAGTTTCATAAAGAAATGATGCCAAAAGAACATACTACATGGTGCAGAAATCCTAGTGCTACCATAAACCTAAGTTCCTTCCTTTACATGCCATGAGGTGACACACATAGAGATACAACACCCTTCTATGGTGTTGTACATGGTGTGGTGGGAGCCTGATACTCAGGGTAGGACCCGCCCTTTCAGCACTTCCTGTGTGACTTGCCTTCTGAGCATCAGTTCTGATTTCTCCATTTCCTATTTTTTGACTTCCAGTCCTGAAAATGACTCTCATGATTCAGTGCTGATCTTGGTGTGCTCCACTCTGATGACAGAACCAATGCACTGAAGGGATGTCAGGACCAAAGAAAACTATGCTTTCTTTGAGCTGGATATTTCTTTGGCTTGTTGTAGGAGAAAGAATGGAAGGATTTAATATCTCAGGTAGGGTTTTTCAATTTTCTTGCTAACACTGCGAGTCTTGTGGTCAGAGTTAGAGGTGACAGATAACCTGATATTTCAGCAGCACCCAACATTAATAAAAAAATTTCCTTACTATTGTTAGGTTGGGTATGGGAGGAGAAATAATTAGGGTGAACTGCTTTAGCAGACACCAAGGTTTGAACCAGTTTCTGGGGATTCAGTAAGGACAACTGAAGAATTGAGGGTGATTTAGAAGATGGGTGGAAGGAATCCAAACATGAACTTTTTTCTTACAAAATGAGAACAATGAAGACAAAAGACACAGAGGGAACCTAATCCATGTTGAATAGCTTTTGTTTTGTTTTGTAAATAAAAGTTGAATTTCACCTAATGTTTTTCTGCATTGCTTTTTATCCTATTGATTTCTTTATTGTGGTTTTCAGATTGCCCTACCAAAAGACTTGTTCGGACATATTCTTCAGGGAGTGAGGAGAAGCTTGTCTTATTTTGTGACTTAAAAAATTGCAATGATAATAAGAGCCTGTCTGATGTCCACTGGTATCTGCAATATCCAAATGGAACTCTGCTAGGGGAAATTACCAAAAACTATTCTCACATCCTTCCAAACAAGAGCCTTTATTTTTCGACCATAGGGTTGAATGATTCTGGATCATATATTTGCAGACCCAGGATGAGGTATGTTCCAAATGAATTCTTATAAAAATGTTCCCTTAATCCTATGTTATCTGGATGTGATGGTTATGTTCACAGAAACTTGTTAACTCCCTTAGAAGTCCCCAGGATGAGAACTGTTGTGTCAAGATAGTATTAGAGGTTAAGCCCAAGACAAAGGAATCCTGTGCGAGCCCTGTACCACATAAGCAAGCCCTTCTTCTTGGTGCAACTGACTTGATTTTTTGCCCCTGTCTCAGCAACCAAAGTGGTGCACCAGAGCTGACCTGGTACCAGGTAAGAATAAATTCTCCAAAATTTAGGTGAGAACCTGGTTTTTATGGTGGGATTCTGTATCTGAGGTCTAGAAATTCCAAAAATCTGGTCTTGTGCTTACAGAGAAGACTAGACTTTCTAAAATGGTGTTTCATCTAAGTAGCCACAGTCTGAGATTCCAATTGTTAGAACCATCCTTTGGATCCATGCCAGAAAAATGTCTAAACTTCAAGTGTATTATATGTCACAGAAGACATAGACTTACAAACACTGGCTAAAGCAGAAGGCCACATTAGTTCATTTTTATTGTCTTTTAAAACAATGTATGTTATAAAGGAGACAGGAACACCAACATGTACATCTTGAAGGGTTTCTAAAGAAACAGGAGACTGGAATACTTTCCAGTGATGACACATCTGGGGGAACAGGGCAAACATGTGGTGGCCCTGCGTGCCAGGTGTCCTGCAGAGGAGACAGTAGCTAGAGAAAATATGGCTAGGTATAAAAAGGAACTGGGCCAAGGAGAAGATGAGTTTCAAAATGGCTTTTGAATTATGAACTATGAGTGAATAAGCTTCCTAAACAATAACACACAAAAACACTTCATATTTTAATCGTTTATTGTTATTGCAAATGCCGATAACTATGTACATCTATGTCTATTCTGTGTATGTTTCTTCTCAGACATAATCTTATCTCACATGACCCCTGAGCTGTAGAATCTTGGAGTAGAATTTATGTAGCTTTTTACACTTGTAATAATTGTTTGATGTTCATACTTAGTCTTAAGAATAGCAAAAATATTAATATCTGATGTTAAATTGACTGACTACAAAAACATCTTAAATTGCTGCTGTTTGAAGTCAGGCGAACCATATTTACCTGGTGACTTTATCTCTTCCAAGATACAACAGAGACTCCTGTGCATGCATTTCCATGGTGTGAGAAGGCATTACCTCAACTGATGCTCTTGACAATTGTGACAATAGGTAGACAGCAGTGATACCACTTGTAGAAATATGTGTAGAACAGAGCGAGGGTGAGTGTTTTGCTTAAAAAAGGTCAGGTTGGCCTCTCACTCACACTTTAAGGTGACACTGAAAATGTGCTTGTCTCTGTGAAGTCCTAATTCCAGAAGCCCATTAATTTCATAGCTGCTCACTTGAGATCAGTAAAAGGAACCAATGGTTTTCTTCATTGTTTTCAGTTTTCTCCTAAGAACAAAATTTTATTCAGCTCAGAGGTGTCTATAATCCAGGATGACAGGTTTCTCACTTTATTAAGGGTGAGTCTTTTTAGGCTAGCAAAGCAGGCTTGGCTTGCCTCCTGTTATTTCAGGTGGAAATGCCCTTGCACTTTCAATGTATGTAAGCCTGGAATGAAAGCCATTTTAACTTGCTTGCAGGTTAGCACAGCTACAAAGTAGTTTCCAGCTCTGCTGATACAGCATTTGCAAATTAACACTAGAGCTGTGTGTGTTCACAAGAGGAAGTTTCATTTCATTTCTCCTGAGTCTTAACTGCGTGAAAAAGGATGTGCAGATGGTGATTAGATCTCTCTCTAAAAGAAGGCAGCCAGTGGCTGCTGATGAAAGTGTACCTTCTGTTGTGGATTTCGACAGACCACGCTCAGGGCATATTTTATCAATACACATGTGCCATCTCCTGCAAATCCTCAAAAAAGCAGTGTATCCTGCCAAGGCAGGAAAGAATACCCAGTTCTCCCTATCTTTATATTAAGCTTCAGGTGCTCAGTTGTCAGAAGTTGTTCCCACCTCAGGCACCTCAGCATAGGTAACATGAACACAGTGTTTCCGTATAGAGGAAATGATGGGCCAGGGAGGGATCAGGGCATCCAGCTGAAATAAATCCATGGGCTGGAGTCTCTGGGCGATTTAAAAATATATAATTTTTAAGATTTATTTTGTTATTGATGCATACAAGAGCTTGGGTATAGGCCAGAGGTGTGGGGGGTGAGAAGTTTCACCAGAGAGAGTGGGGAGCAGAGCAGGCAATTGACTGAAATACACTGCTGAGGGGAGGAATGGGCTGGAGAAGAGAGGTCTGCTGTGCCATGTCGGTCAGCTCCCTGGGTGAGGATCGAACTCATGCCACAGTGGTGGCCAGTAGCTTCATAGTGCTGAGACTTAATCCCTTGTACCACCAAGGAGGCCCTCACAAATATTTAAAGTTTTATTTATTTGGGCATACATAACTGGGGTACAGTCCAGAGGCACATGAGTGGTGAGAGGATTCATCAGAAACAGAGTGGGGAGACGAACAGGCAGATCATCAAAGTACATTGCTGAGGGGAGCAGCAGGCAGGCCAGAAGAGGTCTGCAGTGTCATGTGGTCACCTCCGGGGCAGGCGGGGATCGAACTCATGCAGAAGTGACTTTAGCTTCCTAGTGCTGTGCTTTAACCCGCTGTACCACCAGGGAGGGCCCCCAGATTTTTTTTTAAAAACACATCCAGGAAATGTAAGTTTAGAGAATTGTGACTGAAAATATATAATAACCAAGAAGTCAGACAAAAAGAGAATGATCTTTTTTTTTTTTTTTTTTTTGATTTGCTGGTTATTAATTCTAAGAATATTTTCATAATTTGTAAATTATAATGAATAAATAGCCTTGGCCTAAACAGATGTTGTGCTAAATGGTAATTACATTTAAAGAGAGAACATTTTTTGTTCTTTAATTTAGCTCAAAATCTCTGACATTTAGCTCAAAATCTCTGACAAGAAACAAGTTCATCAAAGAGCAATGGGAGAAAAGTCTTCTCTATGACTGAGAGCACTGAGATGTGGTGTTGCTGACAGTTGGTGACCTCCTACCTACCAGTGGGGTTGGTAGCATGAGTAGCTTTTCCATTGGTGGCTTAAGACAACCTCTCTCTTGTGCCATGACTGCTCGTCACAGTGCTGACGTGTCTGCCTCTGCTTGGCCACTCAGTCCCTTGTTCCATGGAATCTTTACCCACTGACCTGCCACTTCTCTGTCTCATTTCCTTTTGGTCTCATGTAACAAGCAGTTGGTATTAAGCAAGCCTTGTGAAATGAAGAACTGGCGAGGATGGTGAGCCTGGCTAGAAACATGGTCAAGGGGTTTCCAAGTAGGGAATCGTCACACTTGAATTTTCAAAGTTACTGCCAATGTTGACACATTGGCACCTTCAGTGGTTCTTGTTGTGGAATTTCAGATCTCTCATAATCTTGGGTAACTTCCAAATAACTATTTAACGTCATAATCCACATGCTTTTTAATCAATACTGAAAACCAAGATATGTACTCCTTCCTACTTTTGACCACTCTATTGATGCAGTCCCCAATTGCATTAGCTTTGGAACAGATCCATTGGGTGATTGCCTCACTCTTACTTGGCAAGCTGGTATTTTCCCACCAGAATAGCAATCCAGCCAGGTCTACTTTGTGCTAGTAGAACATGAAGCCTGTGTTCATGATTTGCCTTCATGTTTACTCTATTGTGTTGATATTGGCACATCATTCTGCCTGATAAGAGGGTGGAATTCTGATTTTGAACTTGAATGGCTAAATAGCCTATGAGCCATTGCTCCAGATTTATGAACTTGCAGGTGAGATGTATGTAGGCATTGTCTTCACGCAATCACAGTACATATTGATTAACAAGGAGTTCACAAAAATATTGTCTAAGAGAGCATCTTAGTGATGATACAGTGTGTTTACTGCATTGCTCCAAGTCTCTGAACTAATCACTCTATGAGGGAAGGAAGGAGAAAACTGGTATGGAAGCTGTCAGTATCAACAGACTGATATCAACTACCTTTCTACTTTATAAGGGTTCATAGACCATCTTTTCAATAATTCATTCAAGTATTTGACTAGGGATTGCTATCTAGCTCACCAGTCTAGACTTTCCATTATCTATTCTTTCTCCATTAGTAGATGAATAATAGTACATAATTTATGTGTAAGTAGAATATTGCCCGCTGATGACGGAGGCAAGAGACTGTGAAGTTACCTTTAACAGCAGGGCATAAGATGGGCACTGGAAGTGTTACAGGGCAACCCAAAGTGGATTGGGTTGCCTGTCTGTGGGTCCTCACCTGGGCACTTAAGATTCAACTGCACTGCAGTTCCTACTGAAGTCCCTCTAGAGTTTGATCACTGAGCTTTCTCCATACCTGGAAACCTCCTTTACAGGTTTCAGTCCTTATGCTCAGGTGGTCGATATTTAAATCTCCCTCCTCCTCTTGCTCCTTTTCACTTCCGCCTACAGCGGCCTCTCTTTGGCCAGTTCTGCTCTTCTTTTTAGGCTCCTTGACATCCTACTAGAAATTTCCTTTTGAGGTGGCAGAAACCACAGCAAAGGTTTGGAGTGGGGAATACCAACTTCTATGAGTCATCAGTGGAAGGGAAACAAAGAATTCAAAAGTCAGAACAAAGAATTCAAAATCAGAAAAATTAGTGATCTTCAAGCTTTTCACTTGTACTAGTTGTGTGATTGGGAGCAAAACACAGAATCCATTTTCTCATCTATGACATAGAAGACTTGAAATCTATGTAAACCAAATCCATAATCTTTTCGATCATTACATGAGGTGATATATGAGAAAGAACTTTGTAATCTCTAAGGTAGTAGATACTCATTGTTTTGTTATTTTTGTCAATCTCTTTTCTTCCAACTGTAGAAATGAGAGATCTTTTCCTGGCAGTTGGCTGGAAACCAGAAAGCCAAGTGCTGCATAGAATTAGCATAGTGCCACATGATCATTCAACAAATCTGTATTGAGACCTAATCTGTCCTGGTGATTATAGTAGTATTTAGTTGCCAGTCACTTCACTAAAAATGTCTGAACATGTGACTCAAGTTTCAAAACCTTTCTTTCAAAAAACAAACAATAAAAACCCCTTTCTTTCAATTATACACACATTTATTCACTTACCATTTAAAAAAATCTTCCCTTTGGGCCCTCCCTGGTGACGCAGCGGGTTAAAGCACAGCACTAAGAAGCTAAAGCCACTTGTGAATGAGTTCGATCCCCGCCTGCCCCGGAGGTGACCACATGGCAAGGCAGACCTCTCCTGACCCACCCGCTGCTCCCCTCAGCAGTGTACTTCGTCGATCTGCCTGTTCTGCTCCCCTCTCTGTCTCTGGTGAATCCTCTCACCCTCCACATCTCTGGCCTATACCCCAGTTCCATATGAATAAATAAATAAATCTTTAAAAAAAAAAAATCTTCCCTTTGCTGGCCTGCTTGCTATACAGTGGAGATGCAAAGACCAGATACATTTATTGCTTCCCCCCTTGGCCTTGCTTCCTAGATGCATGCTTTTCTTCATGCACTGAGTGACTAGTCCACATATTCTTCAAGGTTCTGCTTAGCCAGAGGGCGAGCCTCTGCTTCCTGTGACTCATCGAGCATGCTCCATTCTCTGTACTATGCAGGGCTGCAGCCTTCAACTGACAGCTCCCTGACAGAAGGGGTCTGTTTGTCCTTTCCAGTGTGTACAGGACCAGCTCTGTGTCTCAGTAACAGGCTTCTCCCATTACCCACAGAGTGCACAAGACCAGCCAATATCTGGTCACCTGTGGTAATGGAGGCCTGTGCTCACAGCTGTGATAGTGCATCACCACAGGGGTGGAGTTAGAGTTCCCTCTTGAGAGAGTTTCAGACCCAGCACAAGTTAACCAGAGGGGCAAAGTGGTGGGGGATGTTCATTGAGAAGAGAAGGCTCGAAAGTGACAAAGAACATAAGTGAGTTAGGAGATTGCAAGTGGGTAGAGAAAAAGAGATCAGGAAGGAATGGCAAGATCAATGTGAAGAACTTTTTAAGGCAAAATCACCAGTGAATTCAAAGTAAGGGGAGGACATTTCATAAAGATATTTTAGTTTATATTTGATTTTTTTTAGCTCCCATTAGGAGCTAAATAAGTGTTTCTTAATTATCAGTCATTACTTGTCATATTTATGTTATTTACTTTTTATTTTAAATTTACATCTTACTCTAAATAATGTTTTATTAATCAGATACATAGAAAATCTGTTACTTTCCACATGTGTATTCACATGTATACATGTATATAAACATATGCACATTAAAAAAAATCATTTAGAACACTAAGAACATTCTAAAATACTTTCAGTGGCCTAAGTCCTGCTTGGGGAAATACTAGAATACAGCTCAACTTTGTGAGCTGATTAGATTTGGTACCTTCATCTCTACATATAATTGTGTATCAAAATACCTCTCCTGGGCCCACTCTAGTGGCACAATGGGTCAAAGCACAGAACTATGAAGCTATTGCAGCCACTGCAGCATGAGTTTGATCCCTGGCCAGGGAGGTGACCCACATGGCACAGCAGACCTCTCCTGTCTCACCCACTGCTCCCCTCAGCAGTGTATTTCAGTGCATCTACCTGTTCTGTCCCCACTCTGTCTCTGATGAATCCTCTCACCCCCCACACCTCTGGTCTGTATCCCAGTTTTGTATGTATAAATATTTGGGGCTGTTGCTTCAATGCCCCTTTCATAGACTCGCCCAGACTCCCTTGGCTTAAATTTGTGAAATTCAAATAAGATTCATAACTATTATCTGATGAAAGAAAGGTATTCAATGTTCTTGTCTCTTGGATTAGAATGGAAAACTAATGCCTGAAATAAAGAGCAATCCACTACCAGTGAACGAGGTCTTTGTGCAGAACCAGGGCACTTACGTGTGTGATTACACTCAGTCTGACCAGGCCGGCTGGTGGACAGTCAGGGCTGTCATCCGGGTGATAACCATTGGTGAGTGACATTTTCAGCTCAAGAGCTGACATTTGAACTGCAGCCTTCCAAGTCAAGTTCTCTTCAGCAACATTTTTTCTTTCAGGAAATTAAAAAAGAAAAAAAGGAGTCCTACAATTATAGTCATGCACAGCCTTGAATGTGGACAAATGTCTATTTTCCCATTAATCTACATTCCACTCTCGCAAGAAAATCTAAGTCTGGCTCATGTTCAACTTGTTACATGCTCTGTCCTTCATTCATTGAACTAGTGTTTGTTTTGTAATAAATTAGGAAATGACATTCACTATTTCACAAGAAGAAATAAGTGATAACTATGTACCTAATACCGGCTTGAATAGGTACTAACAATTTTCTATATACTTAAATTTTGCTTTTTATTAAGAAAATGAAACGTTAAAGGCACACGATTACAACTGCTCCCTTCTCCCTTCCTACTGTCTCCCTCCCAGATCAATCATGTCACTTATAGCTTATACATTTATGGATTTTTTTGCCTATATATATATTTATAATGAATATATATATATATATATACTCATTATTAAGATATAATATTGTCCTGTGTTTTGCATTATAAATATATGGCCTTATTCTAAAGTATCCTTTTGCCAGTTTATGCTCCTATTATCAATAAACAAATTCCCATTATTCCCAAACATTTGATGTTATCAGACTTACTGATTAGTATTAAGTGGGTTTTCTATTTCTCCCCCAATTAATATTTTCCTGACTAATGAAGTTGAATATCTTGTTATGTATTTATTGGCCCTTTGAGCTTATTCTGTGACCTGTCTACTTTTGACTCAATTTTCTTCAGGGTATCACTTTTCATATAGAAACCTGAGTTTCTAGTTTTATGAATTATGTTTAAAATTTGAAGAGGACCTTCAAGTTATGTATATAGCACATATCACAGCAAGCATGCCTTCATATTTCCCAATGCCAGTAATGATTTTTGTGTTTGTCTTCTAGTGAAAGATACTAAACACAAGCCAGAAATTCTGGATCCCATCAATGACACTCTGGAAGTAGAACTTGGTAAGATGGGTGACATCATCACCCTGAAATGACAGCACACTCTGGAAGGGGATCTGAGTGTGACATCACAAAAAGGTCACTGTGGTTTTAAGACAAACTGAATTGGATTGAGTCAGTCACTGACTAGAATTGCAAATTGATCTAGTGCCTTAATCTTCCTAAATCTCAGTTTTTAACTCTGTAATAGTCAAAGGAAGCTGACTTCATAAGTTCACTTTGAGAAGTATAGGGCAATATATGCCATGTGGCTTGTGCATTGCACATGTGCAATAGATTGTAGATGCTCCCTGTACCCCCTCCCCAATTGCACCATGCCCCCCACAGGTGGTTATATATATATATATATATATATGTATGTATGTATATATATAGGCCAAGTCTATATAACTAGTCAATTTACCAACTTGAGTACTTGAGTATATGGAGTTTGTTCTGCATTTTTAGATAATTCTGTTCAAATAACTTGTCTTCCAAAGTCATGTCTTCTTTTGGGTTGAAGGGAAAAATGGCATTCAGTGGTCCGCTTTTATCTGATCAACTTCAATAACATTTGCAGTACCCCCAGAATCAAAGAAGAAATGCTCTATTTTAAATTTAGTGTCATTATTTCAGTCATTTAAATGTTTCTTTTAAATGTTTAAATGTTATCAACTATTATTTTAAATGTTAATCTAATACTTGTAATGGTGGAAATGTAAAGATAGGTATTAAGACAGAGACCACTAGATGGCAGCAGCTATGTATCTAGTTAGGGAAACAGCACTGTGGGCAACCTCACAGGAGCAGAAGGAAAGGAGAAAAACAATTCAAAACAGCCAAGATACAGACATTTAATGTGTTACTGGGGGGAAGCATTATGAAGTTGCAAGATGAGTTTTCAAATGGAGTTCCTAGCCATTTCATGGTGAAACAATGAATTGGAGGCAGAGTGTATCTGCATGCACCTAACAGACAAAATGAGTAGAACAAGAGTGTTATAATACAAGCATATTCATCCAGAGTGTGCTGCTCACACAAAGTGAAATCAAAATGCCTTCGTCTTTAACTAAATGCTTATTTTTACTTATTTATAATATTAGTTAGTATGATATTCTTCCTATTCTTCCCCACAAATAGGTAGTCACACACACACGTTAGATCCAAATGATTAAGATTGAAAATTTAACCAATTTATGGGGTAGTAATTTATGGGTAGCATTGCTCTTAGGAGTACGTGTTTGCTACTTTTAAGCAACCTGGAATACAGGGTTGGTCATTGAAACTCCTTAACCTGTGTATCCTCAAATCATACCAAAACCTTTGATGCTAAGGCAGCTGACCTTAACGTTAAGAACATATAGTCCCAGGTTTAAGAAATTAGCATTTCCCATTAGAGACAAACACACCAAACAATATTTCGTTTGAATGAGAGACAAGCAGAGGTTGAGTTATTTCTGACCCCTGTTTTACTCACAAACTCAATTGGATTAGGGGGCAGTTTTCAGGGGGCTTTATGGGCAGGCATCCTTATGACTTCTTTCCTTCTTGTTTTCTGTGACCCTGTCACTTTCAGGAAAATCTTTAACTCTTAATTGCACAGCACAATTTGGCTTTGAAAAGGACTTTAAACCTGTGATAAGATGGTACATAAAAGATTCTGACCAGGAGTGGGAATTTCCAGCATCTGAGGAGGAAAGGTAAGACAGAAATGAATAGACTCTGTGTTTTGCAACCCACATCAGATGCTTTCACCTTCAGAAACCTTGAAAAGGTACACACAAAGTAAACAAAGACACGGAGTGATAGGAGTTGATGGCGTAGCTGCAGGGCCCGAGTGGAGGAAATTAAAGGAGTAGTATGCAAAGTGTATGTTAAGCTTAAAAATAAAATATTTACGTTGTTTTAAAGCTCAATTTGTAGCAATAGTCAATGTGGTTGGTTTAACTTCTACAACAGGCTTCTTCAATAGAAGCCGCGTGTCCAACAGATGGGCAGGGTGCTGTCCACCCAGCCCCATACTTCTCCACGCCGTCCACGCAGAGCAGTGACGTATTCTGGGATCTTCATCGACAGTCATTAATGGTCCGAAGTGTATCAGGGGGATGGCACAGCTGAAGGAGGCTGATCACAAGTACACATGCGCAGTGAGGGCTACTTGAAGGCTCCACCCTAGCAAAGGTGACTGTGGTGTGTGCTCTGTCTCCTTGGAAGCACGTTAGAGCTATTGTTTCTTAGGAGAAACTAGATTTAGAGCACAGAACCCAGAGTTCTGGAAACAGCTTATGAGGAAGATGGGTGGCTCACAGAAAGGAAAACTCAGAGCTTTGGAACTAACTCCCAACAAAGCTGGACTTTTGTCCCCGGAAGGGTGAAGGATTGGAGTCAATCTCTCAGGCATATCACTAAAGGAAATTTTCTAAGACTGTTCCAAATTGACTGTTACTAATCAGTTTATTAACCACTGATTTTTTAAACATGCCATTTTTTTTAAGGGTTGATTTGTTAATGCATACATGAACTGGGGTATAGGCCTGAAGTGGGGGTGGTGAGAGGATTCATCAGAGACAGAGTGGGGAGCAGAACTGGCAGAGTAACAGAAATACACTGCTGGAGGGAGCAGCATGTGAGACAGGCGAGGTCTGCTGTGCCATGTGGTTCACCCCCCCTGACTGGGGATCAAACTCATGCCACCACACCTGCAGGAAGCTTTGTAGTGCTGCAACTTAACCCTTTGTGCCACCAGGGAGGGCTCCATGTGATTATCATTTTGAAAAGTGGCCAACACTACAGAAAAATAAAGAATAGATCTTGTTAACCATAATAAAATTTAACCAAAACTTCTGAGACAAGGGGAGGGAGTCACAGGGATCCTAATAAACTGATATGGTATCAAAGTGCAAAGTAGCCAGATGTTGGGTGGAGAGTAGCCTCTGATTCCACACACCCTTGGATTTGAATCTGTTTTCCATCTAGTGACCATGTGAGCCTCGCCCAGGGCAAGCATCAGTCACACTCTTTATAAATTATGGGTAAGAAACTCCACTCTGCAAGGCTCCTGTAGGAGAGGGACCAATTATTATGCTAGGACCTAGTTTTTTATGCTAGGACCTATGAGCTTAACATAATCCCTGGGAGAGGCATGAAGAGGAATTCCCACTAGTTTCAGGTTCTTCTCAGGCTGGTCAAGCAATCTAGTGAACACAACACTTGGTAGGGAGAAAGGTCACTTTCAAATCCATCTGGAGAATCTACCTGGCTGTAAATTCTGGAGTAAGCGGGACATGCTGTCTATTTTGAGCGAGGAGGGAGATGGACTGAGGCTTCCAGGAAAGAGGAAGGTGACTCGTATGCAGAAACCAGATACTCCATAACTAGATGTTTGCCCTGAACTACAGATGAGTTTCTCTGATTAAAAGGTTATTTCTAGGCCCTCCCTGGTGGCACAGAGGGTTAAAGCACTACACTGAGAAGCTAAAGCCACTTCCGCATGAGTTCGATTCCCGCCTGCCCCGGAGGTGACCACATGGTGTGGCAGACCTCTCCTAACCCACCCGCTGCTCCCCTCAGCAGTGTACTTGGTCCATCTGCCTGTTCTGCTCCCCACTCTGTCTCTGGTGAAGCCTCTAACCCCCCCGAGCCTCTGGCCTGTACCCCAGTTCTGTATGCATAAATAAATAAATCTTTGAAAAAAAAAAAAAAGGTTATTTCTAGAGATAAGCCTCAATCTGGATGACATCTCTAATCTTCGTTCTTCAAGACAGCTATGGTAATGGGAATAGTTTCTTTTGAAGTCGCTAAGGACCTTGATTTATCGCAGCTAGAAATATACTGCACAGGAAGGTGACCTATCTAGGAACACCTGTCCCAGACATGTTGGGGAGGTCTCTCCTTCATTGACTTTCCATAGAAAGTATTCAGTGAACACAACTAGCACAACAAAAAATCAGCCACAAATACAATATCCAAATTGTGAATAAATCCCAGACTCACACTTCCTGGATGAGGCAGATGGCCCAGGGTCAGGAGTCGGGCTGCCATTGCCCAGTGCTGAGACCATGGGCTGTTGCCCACATTCCATGGCAGGTCCATGTCCTTGGTCAAGTGGGGAGATGACACTGTTACCTCATAGGGTTCTTGTGAAGTGAGGAATGAAGATATGTTAGTCTACATTTAGTGCTCAGAGGTTGCCCTATTGTAGTGAGCTCTGGTATCAGTTAGTAATCTTTAATGTTGTTCTTAAATTATTGTTTTCTCTTCTAAAGAGGATGATAATGCTCACAATTAAGTTATAGTTTAGTGTAAAGGATTGGAACTGATGGTTAGCAGATTCAGCAGCTTCCTAAAAATAGCCCTTTCTGATAAGCTTATATTCTTCTGGCATGTCTTCCATTATTTCATCCATTGCTCCTCTCAAAGCCAAACACTTGGCTCTGCTTGTTTAAGTGCCAGATACTTCACCAGGTGTCGATCTATATTAATAATAGGTATGATGTTTTCCCTCCTTCCTTAGGATTGAAAGTTTAACAGATGACAAAATTAAGCGAGCTATCTTTTTGAAAGAGGTGACTCTGAGTGATCTTCGCAAGAAGTTCATTTGCTTTGCTCAGAACTCCATCGGAAACACTACTCAGTCCATCCAATTGAAAGCCAAGAGAGGAGGTAAGCCTGGAAGGTTGCCTCAGAAGCATGCAACTGCTTTATCTGAGAGGGGCGGGATTTTCCTGAGGAATAATAATAGTGATGATACCAATTAACAGTTCAATATTCTCAGCACTTTGTTTAAATTATTCCAATTAATACTTGAACTGTGGCCACGCAAGTAATTTCTCCAGAATTAGTCCTCTTAACTAGTACTCTGTACATGGGGGTTGTGTTGGAAAAGGTTTTAACTCACTCACTCACTCACTCTTCATTAAGTATCACGTATTCACTCATTCATTCAGTCACTCATTCCCTCACTCTCCATTCACTAATTCATTTATCCATTTCGTCATTCACCCACTCTTCATTATTCACTCACTCATTTATTCATTCACTCACTAGTTCACATATTCACTTGTTCAATCATTCAATAAATACCTACAGGATATGTTTTATGTGATAGGTATAATGGTATTATGCTAGGACCTAGGTTTTTTTTTTTTTCTTTTAGTTTTCCTACTGTCCTTTCCTGGCTTCTGAATATAGAAGATGTGGTAGTTTACTATTTGAGAGTGGAGGAAAAAAAGTATTCTAGCTTAGTGTTCAGAGAGATGTGGTGCTATCCCAGATCACAGTTTATATATATATATAA